ATGGATGGATGGATGATGGATGGATGCATGGATGATGGATGCATGGATGGATGCATGGATGATGGATGCATGGATGGATGATGAATGGTTGGATGGTTGGATGATGGATGGATGATGAATGGTTGGATGATGGATGGATGGATGATGAATGGTTGGATGATGGATGGATGGATGATGGATGGTTGGATGATGGATGCATGGATGATGGATGGATGGATGGATGATGAATGGTTGGATGGTTGAATGATGATGGATGATGAATGGTTGGATGATGGATGGATGATGAATGGTTGGATGATGGATGGATGGATGATGGATGGATGATGGATGGATGATGGATGGATGGATGATGAATGGTTGGATGATGGATGGATGAATGATGGATGGATGGATGATGGATGGATGGATGGAAATGCACTGAGCTGAGGAACGATGACCGTTTAAGGGGAATATACTGATGAAGCTTTGCAGATTAGACACTTTATAAAGGGTTTTTTCTACATCATGGGAACCATTTTCCTGTAAAAGTTTGTAGTTGTCGTCCTGCACCACGGTAAGGAGAGGATAGACTGTCCAAAAAAATTGTTTTTAAAAACTACAAAACTGAAAAATGTTTGCGTATCAATTCACCCCTGCAAATCCACGTTCTGCAGCAGTTACAGAATCAGGTCTCTCGAGGTCTAACTCTATGATTTTGGTCCATCTAAACTGAAATTCCTGGTTGTTTTTCACAAACAATTTGCCACAGCTCATTTATCTGTCCTTTTATTCTAAGCTGTTTATTCCCACAGCATGATGCTGCCACCCCCATGTTTCACTGTAGGGAAACATGGGGGTGGCAGCACATTCTTTGTCATGTTTGATGACAAATTTACAAACACTTGAGTTTTTTTGTTCCTTTTTGTTATTTTTCCTGCTGCTCATCCATRAATCACAGGGTGGGCAGCTTCTAGTGGTCTTGAACCTGTGGACAGAGTTCCTTGGTCTTCATGATGCTTGGTGGTAGGCCTTACTACTTCAAAAGGCATTGGAGTTCTGTTGGTTCTGCAGGCTGCCATAACAGGTGTGAATAACCAGAGATCATTTGACACAGGTGGGTCTTATTGAACTAATTTTGGGGCTTCTGTTGGGACTTTAGAGCAAAAGGAGTAGAGATGTCCCCATCCGATATCAATATCAGACATTGGTCTGACAGTAGCCAAAAAACAAATATCAGATTAAACTGGCCTGGGGAGGCTGTGTCAGAGTGCTTAGGGGAGTCATCCTGGAACTGGAAGGTTGCCGGTTCGATCCCCCGTCCAACTGTCTCAGTTGTGTCCTTGGTCAAGACATTTCAGCCCTAATGCCTCTGATGTGTCCCATCAGTGTATGAATGTGATTGGCACTGATTAGTCTCCATAGCTGATTGTACATGTTAGCTTTGTAGAAATCTAATAGAGTTCTGTGTGAATGGATAAATGAGGACACAGATTGTAGTGTGAAGAGCTTTGAGTATCCTGGTTGGGTAGAAAGATGCTATACGAGTACAGTCCATTTACCATTTACTATCCAAAGTCTCCGATATAAGCACTCTGATACAAGCAGTCCATTTCAGTGGTCTGCTCAGGATTTCTATCCAGCAGTGCTTGGATCCAGCATAAATAACTACAGTAGGGCAAACAAATTTTATCACTATTTATTTTTTCATAATGTCAAATCTCGATTATTATCACAATTGTTTTTATTAACCTAAAAAGTGTGCAATTATATTGTGACTGAAAAATAATTCAACAAATAAATAATGGCTGTTATTTGACTTCCACTAATATAACAAATATCTGTGGTTCAATGGAACATTATATTATATTTGCAAGGTACTTAAAGGTATTTACCAAGAAAAAAATTCTTTATGTGTAAAACATAGAATCTCACATTAATAAAGTTATCCTTTTGTAAAATAAAGCTTTTTGATTGAATTTCACATTAAATATGTCATAAAGGAAAACAAACCCTACAAACAGCAACAATTTTTGCACAATTGTCCATTAAATAGGATCTAAGTTCAATATTTACTTCTGTTTTGGACGTTTTCTTCAAGGTATAACTTTATAAAATTCAGTTTTAATAGAAAAACGTTACAAGTAAACAAATAAAAAGCATTAATTTGGGTTTAGCTCCAGTATCAGTACTTTTAACTGCATGTTATTTAACATCCCATTGCAACAAGTTTCTTCAGCTATTTCGTTTAACTTACATTTTTCGATTCGTAATAAATTTCCAAACTCCGTCATAAAAAACTGTCATTTCAAAAACGTTGCAGTTTTTGTTTATCTGTTCAATTAGCTGATGGTGCAATGAATTCTGGGATACCGTTGACCGTGTAGGATACTCAGATGCAGTGGTGGACAGTAACAAAGTACTTTTACTTTATTACTGTAATTAAGTACATTTTTTGAGTATCTTTACTTT